TACCAGGACCACCGTGACACACAGAACAACTTTTTACTCCGGAAAAAATGAAATACACGCACAGAAGACCTCAAAGGACACACAATCAGATCAACGGAGCAAGCCAAACCCCTTGGTGAAATTTGCCAAAATTTCATCGGAACTGTAGAAAGGTGAAGGTGTTACTGAAGATGTCCTTTTGACGCGCGCGTTGTATGCTCATTTGGTGGTGTGGCCAGTGGAAACAAGGGTTTTGTGATGCCAGTCGCTTGTTGAACAGGCAGAATAAATTCTGGAGCTGGTGTAGAAACCTCGAGCAGAATGACATTCAGCGTAGTCTCATCCATAGGCATAGTTCCAGCCTTTCCTGGTAGTTCGACCTATTGGGATGCAGCAAAACAGGACAGACAATTGTGAGCAATTTTTGCTCAAGAAAGCACATAGGGTGGTAAAACAATAAACAAAAACATGTAATCTTCCAATCCTCCAAAAGCCGCCAAACATGCGAATTGCTGGTTGTTACAATTACTCCAACTTATAGTTACTATAACGGTTTTTGTTTTTGTTACTCACATGCAGGGTAGTATACTTTCATATGGCCAATGCCAATGCCTCTGCAGTGTTTCTTTTGCTGCTGTGTTTTTGTAAACAAGTCTGGCTGTTGTAGTGTGTTGATTTTGTGGGATTCTGATGTTGTATTTGATGGGGAGGTGTTGTTTAAAGGTTTTGCTTGTTTGCTAGTTGTTGTTCAGCAATGCTCTTGCTTTCTGTGGATGCGCGCGTTCAGCTTGTTGCAAATGTTGGTTGCAAGCAGGAAATTTCTGAGGTGTAGTGCATTCTTAATTCATATACAAATAGCATAGAGTTCACACCATCTTGAAACCTGAAGTTCTCTGGCAGCAGGGCGTGGTGGATGCTGTGAGGTATCGCTAGCTCCTTGTGGAGTCTGCAATGTCTGGTCGTGTGCATGCTAACCATTGAAAATTAGTGCTTCATCTTTTATTGCTGGTTTGTATTGCAGTGGCGAGGTTCTGTCTTTAGTCTTACAAGGCTATGCTTTTGGTGGCAGAGTAGTTGATATGCCAAAGTCGATGTTTCTTCCAAGAAATGTTCGAGGTAGCTGAAGGTGGTGGAATCCACAGCGTCACCAAGTACCAAGAGGAGTTTCGTGAACATTTATATAGAGGCGTAGACGGAGTTTTCGTGTTCGTTGTATTGATTTTTGCAGCGATTCGGCTTCGTACACCTGGCCGTATAGGTATCGCTTCCTATTTGCCATAGACGTTATATAGATAAATATGGTTTGACTCATATTTCATTCCTTGCACGGCCGCGAGCAAACCACCAATCCAAGCCACCAATCATATCGCGGTGCTTTGCTGCTAAGGTACAGCCGTCGGGCCCCGATCGGGGCCCGATTGCACCGTCGGCGTCATCGGGGCCCAACACTGCAATCGAAGCCCGACCGGGGCAAACCTCCAATAGTACACAGCCGGTTTTGCTTAGGATGTCGCTTTACCTGATAAAGGCACATGCAGCCATCGGGCCTAGATCCAGGCCCGACAACGCAATCGTTGCCCGACGCTGCAACCGAAGCCCGGCCGCGAGCAAACCACCAATCCAAGCCACCAATCAGCGCGCTGCTTTGCTGCTAAGGTACAGCCGTCGGGCCCCGATCGGGGCCCGATTGCGCCGTCGGGCCTTGATCGGGGCCCCGATGGCGCCGGCCCAACGCTGCAACCAAAGACCGGGGCCGGGAGCAAGCAATCCAAGCCACCAGCACAGCCAGTTTTGGCTTACAATGTCGCTTTGCTGTTGAGGCACATGCAGTCATCGGGTGTCGTTTTTGCTGTTGAGGCGGCCCAACGCTGCAATGCAATTGAATGAGTTCCCGGGTTCCACCAAGGTTCCACCAGGGTTCCACGAGGCTCTGCAAGGGTTGCGGGGTGGTCTGGGGCGCTTTCACCAGGTTCCACCCAGGGTTCCATGAAGTTGTGCAAGGGCTGCGGGGTCCGGGGCGGGATTGAGGTAAGGTTCCACGACAGTTTAACTAGGGCCCACCAGGGTTCCACAAGACACTAAGCAAAACAATCAGTGGCTTTCAGAACAGTTCTGTATACACTTGCTCACGGCTCCACAAGGGCTGCGGGCGCAGGGTTCAACAGGTTTGACACGACAAGGGTTCCACAAAATTTCCACCCGCGGTCAGAGGCCAAGGTGCTTCTTGGTGCCAGGTCCCAGTTGTGCTTCTAGATGCAGAGCCTTGGCTTTTTTGGGTCAAGATGTGTGTGGGCTGTTTGTGTGTTGTATTGTTGCTTTTGGAATCATTTGGCGCGAAAAGACGCAGAAGCTTTCGCTTGCTGACACACCCTTCCACACAGAGTGCATTCACCGATACAAGCCAGTGTGGAATGCAGTGCCAGATCACTGTCACTACTATTGTAATGAGTGCTGACATATATGGGATGTCGTACGGATTCACAAGATGCTTCCGTGCGCAAGGTGCTGCACCAGCCTGCCGACCAATGTTTTTCAGGGGGCTGAGGCAATATGACTTGCCAATGTGCTGCACGGGGGCGCGAGCGCGAATCACCCTCTGTGGCCACTGTGAACTAATGGTGAACGAATGAGCCAATGAATGGAGGTTTCGTTTTTGTCCATGTCCACAGTATCATGTTTTGGCAATATGATAAGCATGGGTCAGCCAAAAAATGCAAGTTTTGCGCAGAAAGGGCAGACAAAGAGTCCTCGTTTCTTGGAAGATAACTACATTCTTGCAAGCAACGCTGTGCTAGTTTGGAGACGGATAACCTACTGGGCAGTTTCATGGAGAGAAAGTATACAGAATTTAAGCCCGGATGACAAAAAAGCAAAATAGTTCTAAGAGTTTGATTGTTTTTTGTTTCTTGTGATTCATCGGGCCGTTTGCCATATCTTCCTGAATATGCAGATCATTGTCCGTTGCAAGCCAAGATTCATCGGAGTTTCTTTTTCTTTCTGCACCTATGTACTCTAGGCGCCACAAACATGTTCCTCTCGGCGCAATTTGTGGGACAAATTGTGGGCCAAGCCGTCTTCAAAACTGTTCGTTTCCCGTCGAGCAGAAAAAAAGCGCTCGAACCCCGAAAATCTGGATAGAGATCCCAACGCTATCAGCTATTGGGGAAAAGCAGTTGCCACATGAACTAGGGTTTTTTCCGACATAATAAAGGGCCATAAAGATATATCCTAAAAGCAGCTTTCATATGCTACCAAAGCTATTCTCTAAACATTCCATAAAAACAAAAATTGTAATTAAATACTTCTATTCTTAAAGCTCGAGATTCACGAACGACTTAACAATAAAGAGCTTCAGACAAACCACAAATCTAATCATAGTGTATTATCGCTTTTGCTTAGGACGCCGCCTTAAGTATACAAAAATGCAGCCGACGAACCCCGATCGGAGCCTGATAGTGCCATCAGGCCCCGATCGCGACCCGACGGTGCAATCGGAACCCGACCGGGTCCCGAGGAGCAAACCACCAATCCAAATCATCAATCACAACGTGCCACCGATTTTGCTTTCGACATTATTAAGGCTAATCAAAACCTAAAAACCTCCAAACTACCAATCCTTTAAAACCCTTCTCGTAAAATCCTCACAATATAAAACTCTTATAAAACCTTACCTTACACTATCCTCGATTTATAAAACCCTCGTAGAGCCCTTAAAACCCAAAACCCACCGAATCACATCTTTAATTCTAAATATTAACATAAAGATTCAAGCACCGTAATGTTAAAGGGTTTAAATTAGCGCCCTTAAAATAAAACTATAATTTTAACTATAACAATAAAAAAATAATAATAAAAAACTAAAATATTAATAAGGTAAATATTAAAAAATAATTTTTTAACACATTTTCGCTATATAAATTTACTCACAAACTCAAAAACAAATCAAATCAAATTATTATAAAATTCAATACATAATAAAATAAATACTTAATATAACTCTTAAAAACCTATTTAATATAAAAAAAATGTTCAATGTAATAATCTCCGAAATAAACAACTCAAACAAAAACCCATAAAAGCTCCTTAAAAATTCTACAAAAACTACAAAAGCTCCGGAATAGTTCCGGAGTAATCGAAAAAAACAATTCCAAAAAAAATTCCAAAAGGATTATAAAAGGTATAACGCTATTAAAGATATCATCTCAACTTATTTTCTTTAAACATATTACTTAAACACTATTATCATTTTTTGTTAAAATAATATTCAAATTCTCGAACTAAAATCTATAATTTTCATTCGAATTTTACATTTTCCGAAATTTTATATATTATTTAAATATTTTATTTATACAACTTGCTTACTTGAAAATGTGTGAGCCATGCTCCTATTGAGCCGGAACTCACTGAGGTGTATCAAAACCGATTAAAATCAAATACAATACTGGTATTCTTCAAAGACCGTTTTAACACACAAGCACTTGCAAACCACCAACTCAGCTATGCTCAACTCGGCAGTGGAGGCCGGATTTGTTATGCCTTGGCAGTCAAGTGATGCTATACTCGTTATGTATCAACAGCGTAATACATGCTCAATCTATGCACGAAAAATGGATGGATTTCTTTTTGAAAGAGCCTGTTCAACTGGGACTGAAAGGGACAAATCTCTTCTTGATGACTCGTTATCTCGTTTTGGAGCCCGTTCAAAGGACATTTAATAAGAACTTTCGTTGGAAGCTTGATCTTCTTGTGTGTTTTCTTTTTCTCGCTTCGCTCGATAGAAACAACAAGTAGGGGTCGGCAGAGACATGTTGACATATAGATCAATGGGCACAACTTTGAGTGATGGGTAGAAACATAGAAAGGTGAAAACGTAAACCAAGGGATAGCTAGATACAATAAATAATGACCGACAAACAAAGACGCACCTTTAATTGCCAGCACGAAGGGTAGATCGTTAGCTCCTGGATAAGATAGATTTCTAAAAGGGAAACGAGGCTGTCAAACCAAAGAGGTTTTCAAAAGGGCTTGGTTAGTGAAACACCCCACGAAGCAGCGAGCATGGCGGCTTCAAGACGTCGCAGCAAGAAGCGCTCCCGAAAAGCAAACTGACTCGGCCCCATGGGCAGGGTGCAAGCTAAACGGAGCCAGGCTTACCTGGAAGGAGGGTTAGCTCTGCAAGCTTGACAGCCAATCGGCCAAGCGCGTGGCATTCCGCTTGGGGGAGCTGGAGCCGGAACGCTTGCCCGGGCTGTTGGAGCGGCTCCGCGCGCCTCACGTCTTTCGAGGCATTGAGGAGTTCAGTTTTCAGAAGGGATCATGCATCCTTCGTGCAGGATGAGTTTCAAAGAGAAACAAGGAGAGCGAGAGATATGCGAAACATTTTCTACACGAATGTGGTCCGAACCGTGCAATCCCATCACCAAACTTTCCATGAGATTGCTTAACTGCTTAACTGCCAAAGACTTCAACATATGTTTTGCAATACCCTTCAAACAACCAACTGGCAAACAGTAGAGCATCTGCTGCTTCCTGCTTTGAGTCGAATACGCGCCAAAACCGTCAATCTTTAACTCATTTGCCCAGAGGAGCCAGAAACGAAGGTTAACCTCTTGGGGTCAGGACTGAACATGGACCAACCGGGGAAACTATGGAACAACTGACGCAAATATCAAACGCCCCCCCCGATTTGTTTAACTCCGAAACACCACACCTGGTGGCGCAGGCAGAGGAAGAATCACAGGTGCGCCCTGACGCTCCAAGATGCTCCTGGTGCCAAAAATCGGGAAACATCATTTTGGATGGTTTGAGCAAAGCCCACGACAAATTCAAGTTTGCTAGAAGCCATCCATCCGCGTGTGCTTTTGTCTTGTCATCAATGCCCAACTCACCAGCAAGACCAGAATGTCAAGCTTGCCACGACTTCCGAATGTTTGTTGTGCATGGCATGGTCAAGCTGGTTGGTTTCAAGAGGGGGTCTTCGTTTTTTGAAAGAAACTGGCTACTCATTGCAACCCATTCGATGCAGCCAGTTCCACGCATACCTCAAGGGTATTTGGAGGCATAATGTACACTTGCAAATCCCCTCCATACCTTCCAAGCCCAGTCAGCTGGCCAGTTTTTCAGCGGCGCAAATCGTCTGGATGCTTGCTTGTTGGCCAGCTAGCTAGCGTGCTTGCGCAAACACTCTGTGACCTTGTGAACTGTTTGTCAGTGGGTTGTCTCATGAGTTGGTTAGTTGACCAGCCAGTCCGTCGGGTTGTTACTTGGCTGCACCAAAACCAGTGTCCTGGCATCCAGGTTGGAGATGCCCCGGATGCTGTCCAGGTTGATGTTGGGATCGTCACTTCCTCAGTCTGTGGTGTTGCTCAAACAAGGGCTATTCCAAAATGCCACAGATTTTCGTTCATCTCCATTTTGCAACCCAGAAAGTGCTTAAAACAGGAATGGGGCGATGCAGGGAAAGCCCAGGGGCCAAGCGTGACAGTCCTTGCGTTTCGAGCAAAAGTCCTTGTGCAGAAATAGAAAATCATGGCGTTGCACATCCTCCAATTATAAGGGGTCCTTTTGCCAAAAATGCCGCATGGTTGTGGTGTGGTCTTCTGTTGGGGAACCTCCTTAGTTTCGAGACAATCCCCATATTTCTTTTGCGGTGTCCAATCCTGCGTTTGACCTCAAGCTCCTTTGAGAACCCACCAGTAACTTGCAGTCTTTTGAACGCGCCTCTCCCAACAAAAGCCTTTGTTTCTTCTTTTGATCTTAGCTCATTGTACGGAAACCCATTTGGATTTGCCCGAAGACTGAGAGCATTGCCTTTGGAACAGGACTTCATTGCTAGGCTTGAACGAACGTTGAGCTGGAAACGTTTGTTTTCCCATGGACGACTGGTTGCAGGCAATCACTTGGACCAACCCAACCATATTTGTGAAGATCCTTTCCAGGGTCAGCCTGGTTGCGAACAGGTGAAAGGTGGGGGGGAGTGTTTTAAAACATGTCTAAACCAGAAGGAAACCTGAACACATGGGCTGGTTGGTTTGTCTCAAACATCGTGGACCCTCCTCCAAAATCATAAATACATATTATACATTCATATATGCATATGTAAACACCTGGAAGCCGGCACTGCGGTTTTCTTCAGGGTCCCAGCCGCTCAGCGAGAAGGCGCTCTTCTTCTTGGCCTGCGGGCTTTTTGGGATACTTGAGTACTCATCTGCTAGCGCTTTGTTTTCAGCGAACAAAGTCAGCACAATCTGGATGACTTGTTCGGTCTGGTTCGGTTTGGGCGTGCTTGCTCAGTTGGTTTCTTTGTTTGCTTGGTTGTCTGACTAAGCTGGAAGGAAACCCATCAGATCCTTGCTCCAAGCTGAATCCATCCATGCGAGACAAAAACACACACTGCTTGTGTGGATGGCTGGGGGGGCTCCCTAAGTGCCACAAGCAACAGGAAGGATAACCTTACCATGATATTTGCTAAACACCTGGGTGCGAAATTGCACGAGGCTTTGGGCCTTATGGGGTTAGTTTTGGCCTACCAACAAAGTCGATACTACCACAAGGTATCGGTTCCCTTCGGGGTAGGATACCCCTGGCAGTGGGCCTCACCCCCCCCGAAAAGCAAAAAGGACCATGACTCGTTTTTTGGGCCCAACCCAGCTTCCCTCAATAACCGTGAATTAAAGGTCGTTGCGTCACACCCAAAAGCTGAAAGGGACCCAAATTCTGCGGATGTTGATCGCGGCCATCCCGGAATATGCTACCGGAAAAAATCCCCAGCCCCGAGTATGTTGTGATGGTGTCACAGGATGTGAGTTTGGCTCTCATGCTGAAATCGCATTTGCTCCGCTAGCACCTTTGTATCACAGATGCAATGGCTCAATGAGCTATGTGCATCTGATGTAAGGCCTTGAGGGTCCGACAAACAAACACAAAACTGGCACAAATTTCTTTTGATCTCCAGCACTGAATTGCTATTGGCTTCTTGGCCTTGGACCGTAGCCATTCAAGTGTGTGCCGTAGCCATATGCAGACCCATATATCTTGTCAGAATTAAGAATACAGTATTCATCCCTTTTGGCGTCTTTGTTGGCAAATGGAAAAGAAAACTCTGTACTCATTGACGCACAATGCTGTGTACGTGCAGGATCGTTGTGAAATTATTGATCTCTCACAGAATAGTCTTGTTGATGGTGACGATCAATTGGTCGGCGTTCGGGGTGCTGTTCTTGGTTGTTCTCTCTTTCGAGCTTCTGAAAGCATCGCTTCCACAAATAATTGCTGGTTTCACATTGGCTGTAGTAGCCATAGTCATACCAAGTCGAAGAAATATGCCCTTTCCATCCAGGTTGATCGTAGCCGTAAGCCTTGTTGTGTCGCCAGGAACTTCCCCCTTCTTTTTCTGATTGTGCTCCTTGGCTCTCTGAGTGTCTTGTTCCTTGCTTTCAGATCGGCTTTGGATGTAGACCATGAGCGGGCTGTGTGAATCGGCGTCACATGCGCCATTCCGATTGTTGGTGATGTGCTTGAAACGCTCGGCTGATGTTCCCTGGTGATCGGAAATGATGAGCGAGGTCTTGTCCTGCATAGTCTTCTTTTCCTCATCGGTCATGGACTCAATCTTGGATTTTCGGAATCCAAATGCAGAGGTCATCATGCAACCCTGGAATGTTCGATCACATCCAGAGCCAGTCTTCATATAGAGATGGTGACGAACAATTGCCTTCATAGTGCAAGAGAGGTAGCCATGCCATAATCCATTCTTTCTTCATCCCGCTTGTCGTGTTCCATGTGTCTTGATATATCTGCATGATGTGATAAATCCATACTCCGGATTGTAGACCCATTGCAATCTGCTGTAAGTGTTGGCGGGTTTGTTTGCGTCGCCAGTGATTGCATCGCATTGGAAAGTCGTAACAAGTGGCATGATACCATTCTGAAAATTCTCTCGTGCTGCTCCATGAGTGATATTCGGATGGATATGGAAAACTCCAACTGTAGCATATGGAGGTCCGGCTCGCAGAATGTGTCGACTATCGTAGTCCGCATTCGGAGCCTCGGTTCACTTCGGCAATGCTCCTCACGAGGCGTTCCTTTGGTCGATCTGGATCACCACAGTTTTTCTGTTGTGCCCATATGTCTGGATGGCAGTGCGTGGTGGCAATCTCAAGCCGACATAGTCCTTGACATTCTCCTTTGTCATGTGAGGTCCGGTCATTGCCAGGCAGTCGAAGGTTGGCGTGTCATACTCGGTATACAACCGATCTGGGCGCCGAGGAAAAATCTGAACATTCCGAATGTAGTTCCCCAGTCTTGGAATCTGGTGGACATGCATCTTGCCAAGAGTTCGACTATGGCGTGCTCATCGCCACGGACAAAACATGCGATGGGCGCAGACCAGGACTTGATCACGATGCGCTTGTATCCTGTGAGAATAAACAAACGGATGAATTACTTACATTTTTCGTCTTTCAAATCCGCTTCGTTGAGGCATATGACTGTTGTGCAGCAACATTCGTGTGATCGGTCTGTCTCGCCCTTCGGTGGCTTGCATCAAGGATCCGAGGATGTCCGATGCCTGTGTCCTGAGAGATTTCAGTCCAAGTGGCCGTCGGGTCGGATATCTGGATGCTGGTTGTGCAGCTCTGTACTCTGCCACGGATGGCTTGTTGCTGCGGTGGCGAAAGTAGAATGTGTTTCAGGGAATCAATTTCACACTGGTTGAGGTCCTTGTGAAAATTCTGAGGATTTGGATGCGTTGTCCCACGAAAAGGCAATCATTCTTAGCTTCAGAACCAATTTGGAAATCTTTACGAAGTCGTCTCCATGAACTTGTTGATTCTTGGCGTTGTTACCGGAAACAGGATCCATAAGGTAATCAACTGTGCCTTCTAAATCGAATGTGTTGGATGATTTCTTTTCGCTGTTCGGTGTGGATTTCGGAAGCTGTCTTACAACGATCTGCTTGTGTTGGCACTAATCCGTGTGAACGGAGTGCCGAATCTAGGATGTTCCACCATCTGCGCGGTGCATCGTTCAGCCCGCATGAAGAAGCGAGCGCAAATGTGGAGGATATCCGATTTCAGGAGGGATTTGGCAAATCATGTCACAATTCTGTTCGTCTGCTTCTCCTTGAAAAAATGCTGTCTCCAAATTCATATGAAAGATGTTCCAGCCCTTGTTTGCGGCTGCTTGAATCGCAAGGCGGAAACCACTCCTGCATGCAGCAGGACTGTCTGCTGATCATTCGTCCTTGTCTCGCTTTAGGGTAAGAACCCAGCGACCGGTGACCCAGCTTCTGACCTGAATCTTGCGTGTGTCGACTAGGTCGAACACTTCATTGTCAAGCCAAGATTTGCACTCGAAATGCTTAGCTTCGAGAAACTTCTTCTGATAAGCTCTTGTCTCGGTGGCTGTTGCTTCCTTCCGCTTTTTTCAATGAGTGCGGATGTGGATGAAGCCTTCAAGGTTTCTTGCTTGGGTGTACAAAAGTAATAGTGCTCGGTCATCGTCAGTCATGTTCTTGCACAATCGATCAACATGATTCTTGTCTCTGTATTTGTGATGAGAGAAACCACATCTGTAGATCTTCTGCTCGGCCGTCATGAATGACCAATGTGCTTCATCGAGAACAAGATCGGCTTCCTGATCATCGTATGGCCTCGTCCTCTGAGAGTCTTCGGATTCGCCATCTTCTTGGTCAGTATATTGTAGAGTTCTTCCTCACTGTCGGGTTGCATCGGCAAGTTGACTGGATTGTTCGGATTGAGACTGGATGAAGCTGCAGGTTCGTTTCTGGGAGATGATCCAGGTAAATCTTGATTCTCACCTGGTTTCTTCTTCTTCTTCCGAGTTTTCTGCTTCCTTGGTGGACTGCTCTGCACTGGGTGAGTTGTTTCCTCTTGCTCCAGATGACGCAGTTCAAGCTCTTCATCATTATCTTCTGTTTCATGGTTCGTCAGGATTGCTGGAGGTAAAGGAGGACGAAATGGACTGTTTTTGTCGTTTGCCCGCGGGACCCCTGCGAGGCTGTCATAAGGCGGCAGTACTGGACTGTCTGGCGAGACCTGGCGGTGCCGGTGGGATCCTGTGCTGGATCCAACATGGGTTTGTTCAGTGGAGTCGGAGGTCTTGGATCTGGCAAAGGATGATTCGGCTGATCAGGTGGCTGCTGGTTGTCACCGAGGGATCCACCTCAATCGGCGCCTGATAGCCGGCGCGTCCGAAAAAGAGCGAACGGAGGAAAGCATGACTGCATGGCAAGACTTCGGATTGTAATCTTCCCAAGTGCATTTTGATGCAGGCAAGACCCAAATTGCATGCATCGTCCGGGGGTGATGTAATAGGTGTTGATGTCAATTGTGTGGACATATGCCGTATCTGCATCGTGCTGAGTGTATGAGATGCAAAGTTGTCTTAACTTCTTGCAACCATTCCACATTTTCTGACATCGCCAGTCGTTTGGATCCTGTCGACAAATGTCGATAGTCCCCGGAGGGTACTGCTTCATGGTCTTCTGAAACTTTTGGACGAGCGAATCTTGGATGACCAGTGGTTGAACATTTTTATTGAAGGGAAGGTGTTGGATCTTAACAGCGGCGCTGCTGCTATTCGAGAAGGTCAACCTGTTGATTGGGTCTCAAAGATGTCCTCAAGAAGGTACACTTCGTTGTCAAGCGGTTTCACCTTCAGGTGACGCAGGATGATGCGCACGAGATCCTGGCAGAACTGGCACCTCTGGAAAATCGGTCTCATTACTTCACGAGGTAAGCAATGCATCAAGCTTGTGGGCTTGAGACTTCTGAGTCCGGATTCAGTCAAATCCACTGCGAATGTTGACTGGGCACAGCATTGACTGAGTCTGGCACTTCTTGCAAGGGTCTCGAGAACGTGGATCTTCCCTTTATGTGCATAATTCCAGTGTGCCTGCTCAGGAATGGATGTCATGTCTTCCACGAACATGTTCTCTGCAGGTGTTGGTGCTGCAGGCTTGTTTTGGAGGTTGATGGCTTAGGAGTTGGTGTGAATGATTTGGAAAGGATGAGGATCCGCCTTGCTCTTTCTGCAAGGATTCTTGCTCATCTGGCAACAAAAGATCAATTCCAGGTTTTTTGCAGAGGATGGTCTCATCCTTCCTCACCTTTGTCATGTTGACTTTGATGAGTCGAGTTCCAAGGTCAAGTTC